AGGGGGGGGGGTCTGAGCGCAGGGCAGAAGCCGGGATGAGCGCGGGCGGAAGTGGGGATGAGTGGAGGGCGGAAGTGGGATGAGCGCGGGCGGAAGTGGGGATGAGTGGAAGGCGGAAGTGGGATGAGCGCGGGCGGAAGTGGGGATGGGTGGAGGGAGGAAGTGGAATGAGCGCGGGCGGAAGTGGGGATGGGCAGAAGGCGGAAGTGGGTGAGCGCGGGCGGAAGTGGGATGAGTGGAAGGCGGACGTGGGATGAGCGCGGCTGGAAGCGGGGATGAGTGCGAAATGTTAAGTTTCGAGTGAAGGACACAGTCGCCTCTGAAGGACTGCAGTTCATGTCAAGAGCCCGAGGGTGACACTGGTGAACCCGTGAACTTATTGCAAGAGGCCTGCCTGACATGCAACGGGGCGCCACGTGCGTCTGTATCTGTCCCCTCATCCTTTAAGGGACCCGAAACGTTGCCTCGCACACGTCGGCCGCACGTGCCCCTGGGGACCTGGTGCCGCAGGACACGGAGGGGTCTGTGCCCAGGAGTGGACGGCACTCCGTCCGCACTGTCGCGCTGTCGTCGCAGAAGGCGGGCGCTTTGGTGACTTCCCTGCCCGGGACCTGTACGCGACCCGCCCCCCTCCGTCCTGGCGTTTGCTCACAGCCCCGTGGAGTGCGTCGTCTGTCGCGTCGTCTGTCCCGTCGTCTGCCCCATGCGTTTGCCACGCGACAGCTGCAGCTCTGTCCAGTTAACGCCCTTCCACCCCCAAGACCGTGCGGGATTTCTACGAAGTTCGTAGTTTCAATTTCTCAGTAATTGTAGGATGTTTTTAAACATCAGTCAGTGGTAGGAGATCTGAAGTAAACACTGAACTAAAATACCCCATTGAAGATCTGTTTAAAATATTTCCAGTTGTCTAGAGTAAGGGAAGAAGGACATTTCAGTATCATAGTAAAACATGGTAGGTTTTAAAGCAGCTCGTCCTTTCGTTCGTAAGGTATCTTAGAGCCCTGAAGCGAGGAGGAGAAGCTCTGGCTTAAATCTTACTCTCTCCCACCTAAAAGGCATGAGTCAATTCTAGGTAAAACGTGGAGAGTCTGGGTAACTGGGTGAGACTTGCACCCAAGAATCCTCCGTTTTGACCTCAAGGTGGAAATGGCTGCGGTTTGGAAGCTCCTGGCTGGGAAGAGCCGCCGAGGGTTCCGCGTCCCACCGCCCCCCGACGCTGCGTGGGGAGGCGGGAAACTGGAGCACATGGAACGGGGCTGCTCTGGGAGTTCTTAACTGCGGCGTTTTGCCCACCGTTGTCAACTGCCCCGTCTCCGTGAGCTAACGGCAGATGCAATGTGAAGCTGTTGCTGGTTGGAAGGACCGTTCTCACCACCGGTGTCGAGGATGAGGCAGCTTTTGAGAAAGGGAGCCCTGTAAGAGTCTCTGCCCTGGCAGGTTGGGGTCTCACGTGCCCGGAGTCCCCGCAGGAACCAAGTGTGAAGATCCAGTAGGTCCAGTGCCAATGAGACCAAATGAGAAGAGACTACAGAACTGAGAAGATTCAGAAAGTGTGAAGACAGCCCCAAACTGCCTTTGGTGCAAGTCCAGAAGAGAATTCACTTAAAAATAAACAAATAAAGGTGGGCTACAGACAGAGCGCAGGCAGGTCTAGAACCCGCAGGTCCCTCTGTCCAGGTTGGGGTGAGTGTGGGGCGGGGAGAGCTGAGCTCAGCCGGGAGACCTGTGGTGACAGCAAAGTGTGTCCCATGGGGCTGGGGCTCCTGAGGAGGGCGTCTGGACGCAGGCGGGGCCACCAGTCCTGTGCCTGCTCTTTCGCCACTCCTGTGTTGGCCGCCCAGACGCAGGAGGGCCACTGGCCAGCGGACAGGCGCCTGCTTCTGGAGCAGTTGCTTCCCAGTGCAGAGAAGCCACGGTGTGGGCCTCCAGTGCCACACAGGCCCTGCCTCCCTCAGGCTGTGGGCCCGGCAGCCCCGCCCCTAGAGAAGCCTTCCCCATGGGCACTCCCGCCACGCCTGTGGCCAGCGTGGGCCCCAGCAGAGACACGAAAGGCGCGTTTCCCTACCTGTTCCCCCTGCCCCCCGGGAAGAGACGACCAATAGTTCTGCCCGTCCAGTGGCTGCTTTAAGGGTTCTTGACATTACTGCGTGAGTTTCTTGAAAAGAGCCTGCGGCTTGGGGTCAGTCTCCATCTGGGGTACCGGGAGTCAAGACGGGTGAGGGCACCCCTCCAGAGCCGCCCTCAGCTGTGCGGACCGCATGCATGCGCTGAGCCAGCAGGCTGAGCTGGGGTGATGCCCCTTTGGCTCACGATTTCAGAGCCATTCGAACTTGGTTAGATTTTAGGGTGTTCCAAGTTGACCTCAAAACATTGAAGGGCAGCTTTATTGTAAAAAGGAGCTGAATCGGGGAAGCGTGACAGTCAAACTGAAGATTTTAACACATTTTAAGTTAAAAAAGATGCAAAGACCTGGCAGTGTTTCCCGGGGTGGTCTTCATGCGTGAGGCTCAGCCTAGACGTGGTGGGCGGCGTGGGCTGAGGAGGGCGCCCTGCGCAAGGACTCACAAGGGTTCCTCTGTTGGTTACTTTTTGGGTTCACAAAGCACGGTGACATTTGGCAGAGCCCTTTTTCTTTGGCCCAAGCTAGGGCTGATGTGCTTTCGGGGTGAGAAAGGTGCTAGGTAACCGGGTCCCAGAGCACCGAGAGTCCTGTGCAGACATGGCCCGTGCGCCTCCGTCCTGGCTTTCGGGCGCTGGGTTAGATTTGTGCAGAGCCGTCTACACAGACAGCAGGGAGCAGCACGGATCTAAGCCAAGCGCGCGTTTCCAGGGGTCCCTGCCCGCACTGGGGTGTGAGCCGGAGTAGGGCCTTGGGGACGTGGCCCCGCATTTCCACCTGCCCTGGGGGGAGCAGAGGCAGCTGCTTTGCCACCTGCTGGCCCTGCCGATGTGGTGGGTGCTCTGGTCGAAACTGCCATGGTGAACTAGCCTTGCACACGCGGGACAAATCCCACCTGGCCGTGGCAGCCGTTCCTGGCGGGCGTCCCTGGATGCGCTGTGCTGGTTGAGAAGTTTCGGCATCTAATT